CTCCGACTCCTCCTCCTCGCCGCCGGGATTGAGGCCCACCCGGCGGGGTTCCTGATTCAACAAGAGCTACTAGCCAGCCAACCAGCGGGGTTTGACATAGTCTGCCTTCTTTTCCCGAACCCGCCACTCGGCGTGGCCCGAGGTTTGGGCACGGATCCAACTTTAACCTCACTAAAGGGCCTCTCCGCCTGCAATTAGGTTATGGCGGCGAATGACGACAAAAAAGTTCTGATAAGCTATTACAACTCCCATTAATTTGGTAGATAATACTTCAGGTGGTTCATCAACCGTGACCTAATACAAGTGCTCCGGACCGGAGCTCTAAGATGAAATGTCCACATCCCAACCTGCAATCCAATTAGTTTGGCAATGTCAATCTGAAGTGGGATCTAATATTTCCGACCGTGGCCCAAAGCGAGTGAACCCGTGAGTAGACGAGCCATTCAACATGGTAGTGCCGGTCAAGTAGCTAGTTGTCTTCTCCACAGCCTGGCCTTTCAATAATCAGTTTACATTTCGGCCTCTGAAAGTTTTATGTGTAAACTTTTATTATCACTATTGATTAATTTTCTCGTCTTCTTCTGATAGGCGGCCTTTGATTGCGCCATCGACTACGCAGGTAAGCGTAGCGCATTCGGTGCTCCGATTGGTCGTTTTCAGGCTATCCAGATGAAACTGGCCGATATGGAAGCACGCATACAATCGGCTCGTCTCCTCACCTATTCGGCGGCTCGAATGAAGGACAAGGGTGAACCCATCACCAAACAAGCTGCCCTGGCCAAGCTGGTCGCTTCCGAAACGGCTACCTTTGTTACTCATCAGGTAAGAACGTTTTGGTGCATACAAGCCAATATTGCGACTATGAGTGTCTACCCACCATCGCTATCCCTATCGTCATTGGGCTGTGTACACGAGCCTTCCTAGTGGCCGTCGACACAGTCTGCATTTGACTATCAATTCTCAAGAGCTGTCGGCGTCTGCTTTCTTTTGGTCATGGAGATTACTCTTTTTATCACTCCAGTTGAACTTGTGGTCAATTTGTAGTCTGTGTTCCTTTCCAGGCGTAAGCCTACGTAGCCAACACACACAGAAAAGTCATTAGTGTGTGAGATGCGGTAGCTGGCGTTAGCATGATCTGTTTTACGGGTACCACCCTTTACTAGAGATAACTTCGCGTTGAATGAATATGCAGGCTTCTCGGATATGGATATGCTAAACTGCTATATTTGTAGGACTTTCGCTTCGCAGGTTCCCTGTGTAGAGGGCAGGGAGTAGAATTTCTACGACACCATTTCTCCCTTAACGCTGGAGGTGTTCAACTTTCTTGGGATTTCGAGACAATTCTTGGCAAAGTTGATTCGGTATCCATTGAGTCTGAGTAGCCGATACAAAAACGCCAGCTCTCTTTAAGTCTCACTACAATGACGAAGAGCACAGTGTTCTTTGGCTGCTTTTCTTCCACTTCGAACGCTTTCCGTTTTAGCTGGATATAATTGCTCTAGTTGCGTCCATCATCTCCCAAAGGTAAGGGAGAAGAAAAGGGGACGGGTCCATGGACCAAATTATATTTGAACTGGCGTTTCGAAAACCTTCTCGCTTCCATGTTGTGGTAGTTGCGTCCGGTGGTCTTGAGTCAGCCAGCCTTGCCGTCTGCCTCAAACCATATCGGTGTTGGACGTGTGAACTTTGGCCTGCCCGTTCGTTGCCGACCGCATTTGGTCTCCCGGAGGTTGGCTGCTGGTGGGCTTGCGTGACCTTCGTCCCCTCTGTGGTCAGCACAGTTGTAGGCAAGTTAATATGCTTGCTGGCCTCTCCCACATCACCCGGCCGACTGATGTGACGGTGAGACAGTGTTTGATGTTGGCCGCGTGACCTCTGACCTCTAGTCTGATTCAGTGTGTTTGGCATCAGATCTAGTCCAGGCCTAATACTAACTTTTGACATGAAACCTTCTTATGGCTGTTCCGCAGTAAGCCGTTTTTCAACTTGCCTTGAACCATTTTTGTAATTCAACAATCCCTAAAGGATTGTAAGAAGTTTTTGAGTCTGGATATAAGAATTCTACAAAAAATCGTCTCCTGTACTCCAGAACTTCCCATCTTTTTGGAATTTCGGAAGATCTCTCGTAAGTAATACAACTCATTAGGTACCGGCTCCTGTGCTGGGGGCCGTAAAATGTATCATTATTCTTCGGTGTTGTGCTACACTGACACCTTTTGGCTCTTAATGAAAAGTCTGAGGTCTGAAATTGCGTTGTATATATTTCCCCTGATGAAGTGCAAGATAGTAACTCAATTATAGGCGACGTGATCCAGGATAACAATGGGAAAACTTGACGTTCTTTAGATTGGATCATAGAGGTACTTTATCTGTCTACGGTCGGTATGCCTAACACGATAGTTTAGGAGAAACATCATCTTTGGCTAACAGGAATAGCCCATGGTGATGCATGGTACTTTTCTAAATCTATGATATGCTGCTGTCAGTAAAGTGACGTGAGTTCAGGTCACTTAAAATGCATGTTAAAACAGCCAAACGTACAAGGCACATTTTATAAGACGTTGCAAACCTCTGACCAGCTTCTTGAGGAAAAAGTTACCACAGTGAAAGTAACAGGAACAACAGAACATAATGGTTCCAACCACTTTTAGGATCCCTCGTCGAGCTGCAGATAGACACTGCTTAGATGTGGAAGGATGGGTGTAGCGTATGAAAACAGTAATAAATTGCAATATACTAGGATGTGCAGTCAGTTAATTCAGTCGCGGTGATGGTCGGGGGGGGGAGGGGAGCAGCTCTACAACCAACCTCGAAGAAAGCGTTTGGCGTTGCCTACAAAGTATGATATTCACTACCACCCCCTTCATACGTTTATAACTTGAGCTTCTGTGTCATGCTTTCTTCGATATTTTCATAGCCAAGAATGATGACACTGATATGCCGTTTTTATGCGTCTACAGGCTATCCAAATTCTCGGTGGCATGGGTTATGTGTCAGCTATGCCGGTTGAAAGACACTATCGCGACGCTCGCATTACGGAAATCTACGAGGGCACCAGTGAAATCCAAAGGCTTGTCATTGCAGGCAGTCTCTTCAAAGAGTACGGCATCAAAATTTAATATGCGCGTTCATCTGCACGAAATTGCACTCTGGCATTTGTATTCATGTGCAATCACACTCAGGCTCCCCAAAAACTCAGGCTACTTAGCTGTGCATAACTGTATAGCTGATTATTTTGAACTGATTCTTGTGTATATTCGTGTCAGATTTTTTGTTTTTCAAAATGAAACCGAAATATACAAATTTTTACTCAGCTATCCAAGCCATGGGATCCCAATGAGTGCCTAGATCAGACGACTTTATCTACCGAGCAAATTTACTTTCAGAACATCTTTCTAGTGAATCGGTTCTCACATGAAATAGGTCCTGAAAGGAGATGCAAATATCACATCTGACGGATGGTACCGACTGCATTTATTCTTGTTAAGTGCTATTTTTGGAGGCTGACAAGCTGATGACGGTCGGAGTTGCGTCCGATAACGGTTCCTATCTGCGCTAGTGATAATTGCTCGCTTTTGGTGAAATTACCCGTGCACAGGGATGGTAGTTAGGTAACAGTGGCCGCTAATTGCTCCCACTGATCTTAAGTAAAATTAAACTTATTGCGGGTTCGAGCTTCAGGTATCGCAATACCTAGCATTGGGTATGACTGGTTGATGACGACTACTAAGTCAGAAATGGCCATACCAGTCTCTCTGGTCGATGTCGGTAATGGTATTATGACTACACAGTATGTCTACGAAATCATGACGAAGCTTGACTCCGTAGTTTTGCATATTTTGGGTCACGTTATTTTGATCCACCGAGTAGATTTAATCTTGTGAAAGCCTTTTAAATAGAAAAATTGCCCTTGTAGTAAAGTTTATGAAGGGTAATGGGCAATCATTTTGGCAAAATTGGGAGAAGTCTCATATCGAAGGAATTTCCCATGCTACTAAGTATGACAAAACCAAACTTTGTATTCATATGCATTATTCTATGGAGAATCTCCAAAATACGTAAAAAGTGTAGAGCATATCCTTTCCAGAACCGGAAAATTTTATCCGAAATTGTCCAGAGGCAAGTGAGATAAAGTTTAAGGAGTCGCATTTGTTTTCAGAATTTATGGACGAAAGCTTGAAGATGCTGGAAAATTTATGGGCATTTACAGGTTCATCTGTAGGTCATTATAATTAAATAATAAAAATATGTTTAAAATATTTTTACCCAAGGAAAAGTTCTTTTATATATAAGTTATTGTTTTAATTTATAGCTATTTTTTACGGAACATGAGGTTTATTAGGAAAATTTCGTTTCCTTAACAGACAATTAGTTTTTCTTACGTTTCTTTTAAGTAACAAATGTGCCTAAGATTGTTCCTTATTCTTTCTAAGTTTCCCTACATGCCTTACTGCCGGTTTGCGAATGCTAATCAATATTTCGCCAACTTCGGCTCGAACGTGAACCCCAAGGCACGACGGAATGAGCTAATCCCATAACTAATCGGTCAG